AAAACGTCTACCACTATTTGCTGGAAAACCTAAAGGGTGGAAATTAAATTGTTGTTTTTTTTTTTATTATATTATAACGTATCTACTCGTTTACTGTTTATAAACAAACTTCAGTAAACAAATCACAAGGAAGTCAGCAGTGGAAGTAGCATACAAGTAACTGTCCTTTCGTTGTCCATAGCTTCCACCCACATACATTTCAGTTTCGTTGTATTACACGTTGTACGCGATAGAGTTGTGTGCCATCGAATTATTGAGTAATTTAAATTAAAGAAATACAAATCTTAAACTTTGTGTAAGGTGTAATCAAGAATTGTGTGTAGTGTGAAAGGATTTTGAAACCCCAATCCTCCTTAATATGTGTACCTCTGTGCATTTGAAAAAATAATATAACTGTAACTTAGAATATCTGTTACTTTTATAATCAACGTACACTTGGAATGTGCTACTTATTCAAAAACGATTCTAATATTGTAACATAATCGTAGTACATAATGTATATATGTATATCGGTGTATTTCTTTGTAAACAATATTCAATCACCAGTCTGCTCTGTATGCTAATTTTGGCTGTGTGAACGCAGTGTTTTCTCAAGTGTACTACTGTGGGCAAAAAGTAAGGTGAATTTGTTTATATAATTAAAAATATTTATTCTTCTTCATCGATTTCGTCGCTTTGAAAATAGTCCCCTGTCGATGCAATGCACTTATACCAACGCTTTTTTCAATTATCGAAGCGTGTCAAATAGTCACGTTCTGGTATGGCCGCCAGGGAGCGCGCCGATTCACGTTTAATCTCATCAATCGATTCAAAACGGTATCCTCGAAGTGGTGTCTTGAGTTTTGGAAGAGCCAGAAGTCACATGGTGCTAAGTCCTGTGAATACGATATGGCCACGAAGAATGAGTGCTGTGTGCGACGGTACATTATCGTTATGCAAAAACCAAGAATTATTGGCCCATAATTCTGGTTTTTTACGAATTGCTTCACGCAAACAGTTTTACAGATCCTTCTGATATTCCAACCATATCAGTAAGGTATCTAGCAGTCAATCGACGATTTTTGAATACTAATTCCATAATTTCATTGACGTGTTGCACATCAGTTGACGTTGATGTTTCCAGACACCTGCATTCGAGCTTGGGATGCCCACAACACGAACCAAAGGTTATCTCATTAGGCTACATGTGTGCTTCTTTCACTTATTGTTGTTTTTCATTTTTTCCTTTTTACCTACATTTCCTCTATCAAGTACTCAGATATTCTGTAGCTGTAAAACTTGGCGCGAAGTAGTTGTTTTTGCGAAGAATTTACCAACAAATATTTTAAAGCAAAGCCTTTTTTATTACTGGAAAATTTCGTTCGCACGGCAAGGCTCTTCCGTAGAGGCGTCGCACGATCTAGACGGCCAATTGACCCCCGAACGTGAAATAAAATGTTCACCGAACTCGCCTCTCAATAAGTCCATTGACCACCAGGGCATAAACCGCACCAAACTGTGACTTTTTCTGTAGGCATTGATAGCTCTTGCAATGCTGATCTTCTGGTTGATCTTCACTCCAAAATCGACAATTCTGCCTTTTTACCCACCCATTAAGCCAAAAATGAGTTTCATTGCCAAAAGATAATAGCTAAAAAATATCAACCTTTGTAACTTAACATGAATGTATTATTTGAAGATGCCAATCGCAACTCTTGTTGTTTAAGAAAAAAGTAAAACTATTAATAATATTAAATTCAAAATTTAACTACAGATGTACAACTTTGCTTCCGCTTTTTTCCGATAGGTGGCTGTACCGGCTGAGGCTGGTTGAAATACATAGATAATAATGCCTTTAAAGTGAGTGTGGACAGTGCCTAACGAATTGTCATCGCCGTTTCAGTGACAGTTGTTTTTGTTTTCGTATTATTCCCGCTCGGCATTGTCCGTTTATGTGCCTAATTCTCGCCATTTGCGGGAAGTTTTACTATTCTAATGCAGCTGAAGCGCATCGAATGCTCTCAGAAACTTACGGTGATGCTGCTCTGAGTGAAAGAACGTGTCGGGAGTGGTTTCAACGAATATTCACGGCGCCAAGGTTATGATTTGTATTTGGTGGGATCAGCTCGGTGTGATTTACTACGAGCTCTTAAAACCGGGTGAAACCATCACAGGAGATCGCTACCGAACGCAACTGATGCGCCTTAGTCGCGCGCTAAAAGAAAAGCGGCCACAATATCAAGAGCGACATGACAAAGTCATCCTCCAACACGACAATGCTCGGCCTCACGTCGCAAAAGTTGTCAAAAAGTACCTGGAAACGCTGAAATGGGAAGTCTTACCCCACCCGCCCTATTCCCCAGATGTCGCCCCTTCTGACTTCCACCTATTCCGTTCGATGGCACACGGCCTGGCAGATCAACATTTTCAATCCTTCGAAGAATTGGAAATATGGATTGCTTCATGGATAGCGTCAAAAGAGGACTCCTTTTTTCGAGCCGGGATCCGAAAATTGCCGGAAAGATGGGAGAAAGTTGTCGCTAGCGAAGGACAATACTTTGAATAATATATCTGTAAGCACTTTTTCGCAACAAAGCTTTTAATTTTGGAAAAAAAAAACGGCGGAAGCAAAGTTGTACACCTGAATATTTTTTCTTTCGTTTCATATAACCACTCTAATTTTCAAATCTGTTCAATGGATTCATATTAAATTTTTTTTTTTTTTCAAACAAACTTTGAAGATCTATTTTAGAGCGCAGCGATACTCCAATATTTTTTCCCTGTGTATAAATACAAAGTAATTATTAATTGAAACTGCTTAATGAAGCCTAAAAATAGGTTTTAAAATATTAATAACTTGTCAATTACAATTTTGGACCGTTAGTTAGTAGTAATGGACGAGAAGACTTTAAAAAAGCTGCCAGTTCCGTTCTTTGAAGGCGTATTCATCTATCTACATAGGTGCTGCTAAGCAGAATGAAACGTTCGCTGGAGGTTTCGGTGGATTATGCAGTTTCGTTAGATATTTTCGCCATATATTTGTCACTGGCTTATCACTGGTATGTTGTGGATGCTATGTAGTTGCGTAGGTAGAGCCCTATAATTATATTCCATACATCCATATTGAATGTATGACCGAATTTTTTCCCAATAACCGATTTATGCTCCTGTCTTTAGAATATTTGTGACATGCCTACGCTTTCACGCGTCATTTTTATCGAAAACATTTAAGTGATTTTGAACTTTGAACATTTCTCATTTACTTATGTCAAAATTTCAATTGCACTTCCACTTTTCGTAACGATAAATACTTTACTAACTTCTCTTAACAATGAAATCACTCAGTTTTTATAATAATAATTGGCGCTTTGTAACCGCTGAAGCGATTTTTCGGCCGAGCTCCTCCTCCAATTTATGGTTTTGCGTCTTGGTGTTTTTCCAACAAATGGAGGGACGTACAGTTTATACTAAGCCGCCGCCGAACAGCTGATGGTTTTTTTTTACGAGGAGTCTTTATGTCGTGACCGAAATACACTCGGAGGGGTGTACATTCCCTGCCGAGGGGTGACCGCAGTTAGAAAATTTAACTTATTTTTTTATTTAAATTAATTTTCTATAATTTTTTGGATGTTGGTGGCACCGGGATATGAACCAGAGCTTTTCGAATGTCAGTATGCAATGTTAACCGCTCGGCTATCACGGCCGCGGTGTGTTTTAAATAATCCATTAATTCAACTTACGAATTTGTTCTGTAATTACGACGCATAACAAATTCTGGTTTTTCATGACTAAAAAAGTTCTGTAGTTCGGAACGCGCCGTTCGTACTCCTGCGTCAGTTGAGCGGGAAGATGGTAACCGTTACGATTATTTATAATTGTCTCACAATTCGGGTGGCGTTTGATTTTAGGTTCTTGAATAGCTGATGATTTTTTCAAAGTCTATAATTTCATATCAAAACTGCGCTGATAAACCTTGACATTTTCAACTTATATGATGAATTTCGGGCTTAAACTAATGGGCTTCCGGTTATTTGCACGTTACCTACTTCAACTCAAGATTTTGATGGAACATTTTCGAGCAGATAGGTCATTTGAGCAATATTTGAGCTTGCATGCATTGTGCTGAACTTTTTTGTTGAATTTTTTTTTTTGTAATTTTAGCATTTTTTATGCGAAGTGTAAAACTCATTGAAATTGTAACAAAAAATGTTGACAATCAAAATTTAAAATTTGGAATTTTCAAACAAACATTGGAGCAGTTGAGCAACGCACGATTATCGCAATGCTTGCATTGTAACAATCGGGTATCTAGAGCTCAAGACTGCTCTACAGCTACTGTTGTTTTTTGCGTCTAAACATACCTACATATATACGAATATACAATATATACATATAGACACAGAAAAGTATATGTATTGTATATAAATATGCCTTTCTGATCAGAAAGTATTTCAATTAAAGTCGGAAATGTGGAATTCTTCATTTGATTATGTATGTACACATAACTGTATGACTTACAAAGATTGGTTGACAGAAATAACAACGCTACGTTCATTGGCGTCCCTAGCGACGGTGTCAGCTGTCATGGGAACACTGGGCCTCACACTGCAAAAAAAAAAAAAAATATGATGGGTGGGTGCCGCAGAATGCCAAGATGAATAGTGAAAGGTTGCAAAGAATACCTGCAAAATTTAATTTCATAGCAACACCCCAGGTGAACGAGCAATTGGAAGTCATCATTAGCAACACCCGCACTTCCACGAAAACTAATACAACCGCATGAATATTCATACATGTATGCATAGGCATAAAATTCACCCAAACATACAAATATACGTACCAACATTTTCAATAATCAAATTGATTGAAGTGCGTACTTTTAAAGCATAACGATTTTCATCATTAAAATGACTAGTTTGTATAAGCGTTGATTTTAATCTATTTTTTTTTATTTACGCAGATGTGCATACGTATTTTTATTCTCTACTCATATTACATTTTGATCTATTTTTTATTTGCAGATGTAACCATCCACGATAAATTACCAAATAATTTCAATAAACAGTTGCCTTCATTTGTTAACTAAGATCTAGTCAAAAGTATTTTAGTATAAATACATAAAACAAACACTCAGATATATAGTACATAAACACTTGAAATAATTTATATACACACATTTAACTATATACTTTATATATACAACTTATATATTTATTATATGATAAAATATTTATGTAATTATCATATACTAAACACATTAACAACAAAACATCGAATCTTGATACGTAAAAGTTGTTAAAAAATATTATGACAACACGACTTGCTACTCAGAGAAATTTTATACTATCAACGGCAAACGCAAATGTGGCTCCAACACCACCAACCGATGCCGGTGGTCAGTCAGTTGCAACCATCACCACCATAGATGATGATCACGTTGCAATCGTGAACGTGTTGCCAGCAAACGATATCAAAAATGAGCTTGTGTCCATTGAAACCACAAATGCTTGCTCTTCCTCTTCACATGGCGACCACTTTGAATATATTGAATCTGCGGTGGATGTTGTGGAGGAGGTCATGACACAAGTAAGAGAGAGTTTCATTTTGTTATTGAAACATATTTATAGGTGGTATTGCATGTATATATATATATTTCTAACTACCTTTTATTAATATTTTGCTCTTTATTTACATACGCAAATAGCAAAATAATCTGCTGGGCAATGATCAGAATGACGCTGTTGCTCTTATCAGCGTTGTCGTACCGATGGATGCGTCTGATTCGACCGGCAGTGATGGGCATGTTCATATGCCGGATTTAAGTGCAATTAAAGATGACACAGAGTTGTCGCAACAAGTGGCCAGTGGTCAAGTAACACTGTTGCAAACGCAAACTGGGGATGGCGACGAGGGCACTCCACAGTTCATTACCGTTACAGGTATGTCAAACTAGTATTTTCCAGGTGAACTTTTTTATTTTCGGTCAGGCAAACATGCGCAGGGTTTTAAAAGATAAAATTACAAAACTTATACTTTAATTCGCATTATTCAAGGGCGTGATGTATGTAGCTGTTCATGTATGTACTTATAGTGGTTCTCAATGGATGGATGGGGTCATATAAAAAAACATACATTGAATATTTTGAAAGTGACCGCAACGATTGGTAATAATCGTTCGCTTGGGATAGGAATCCTTATGTTTGAAGGAGAAGTAGCGAATTCATGCTGGAAAAATTTCAGAGAGTAAAAATTTGCAATTTGCAAGGAAGAGAAAACATGATTTACTTTCATATAGCAGCATTTTTGTCAACCAAAAAGAAATTACTTATAATTATAATATTTTTAATACATTCATATGAATGAATAGTAACGGGAGAAATAACTAAATATAACTTAATTTAATTTAGTTACTAATTTCAACGATTAAATTCTTCTTCTGAAGATCTGCAAAGCTAAGTTATAATTGTATAGCTTCTACATTTTTGATGTTCGCAGCCAAATCTCTCTGAAATAGCAAGACCGTATTTTAATTCTTGCTAAATTTTTGAAACACTCTATTGTTAAAAATGTATTCAATGTTTTCTGTTATATTGAATGAAACTGCTTTCCTTTTTTTCATCCTAAATCCTTAAACAGGATTCATAATTAAAAGACAACCGCAATTAGGAAAATTAATTTTAAAATAAATTTTCAGTAATTTTTAATTTTCGAACACATAAGAGGGACAATTAAGAAGTTCGCGGGCTAAAGTACTTAATAAAACAATATATAGTTATATATATATTTTTTTCGAGTGGAATAAACTTTTCACATTGTGAAATTAGCGTAATACTGACCGTTCATTGTACTTTCCTTTGGCAAGTAATCCATTAATAATATTGGCTATCCCAGAAAATGGTAGCCATAATCTTCGACGCTGACTTTTCCACTTTGAATTTTTTTGGTGGCCTTTCGCCTTTTTTATCCACTGCATCGACTATTGATCATACTGATGAAACAAAATTTCATCAGCTGCTCCATTGCAGCTGCTAATTTCATCCAAATCATTTTGGCACAGCTCCAAAAAACTCTACAGTCGTCGCTGCTAGTCGAGCGGCGTGAGCATTCGCGGTATCCAACGCGCACAAATTTTGTTTTCGATATTCAAATGTTCATGCAAAATCTCTCCAGCTCGTACTTTGCTAATCTGTAATCCTTCTTCTGTGCACCAAATTGTAATTTTTCGATCTGCCAGTACTAACTTTAAGAATTTCTGAGCATTTTCTTTAATCACGATCGTCACTGGTGGCTTTACAGGTCTCTCTTCCTTGCTGAAACAGCCGAGCCCAATTTTTCACCATCGTATATGAAGGGATGGAGTCCTGAAGAACCGATGACATCTTTTTAAAAATTCCTTTCGACGTACTTCCTTTTTTTTACAAGGAATTTATTCTCAGTGAGTTGCTCCAAATTGCAAAAATTTACAGTTTTCGTTGACATAGAGTTATTGTTGTTTGTTCCAGGGAAGAAGTGTTAACGAATATAATGAAAAAAAATTGTGGTATTTATATTAGGAATGAGTCCCGCAATTAGTATTCTCAGTACAAAAACAAATTCTAGCAAACAAAAACAAATTGACACACCAAAAGCGGCGAATGAAAGAATGAAAAAACCTGATATATCCGAAACATATTCAAGAATGGCGACCTTATTCTTGTCAAACTATCAGCCAAAGCAGCATAGTACCGAAACTTGGCTTTGTATACAACAAAAAAATATTTAAAGTAGATGAACAAGACATTTCCCATTTATTGAGTAGTATACAGAAGCGTATAGAAATCGGTATTAATTGTATTATTTCCTTAACTTATAATAATAATAAACCCAACTAATACCCCCCACTCGCCCGACCGACACTAGAGGCGACATCCGCATAACGTACGGAACAGCAGCTGAATTTTAGTAATTATGGAATTTTAAAATTTAATTGTTGAGAGAAGTAAGAATGGTTTTTTTAATGCTCTCGTAAAAAGTGAGTCTGAGAGATCGAAGGTGCTGGAATGAAAATTAAATTTATGACACATTTGGCGTAAGGGTTCATTCAATTCATAATTTGTTTTACATGACATTAATAGTAAAGGCCTAAACTGACTAGATACACGATTTTGAACATTAAAGTTAACCTCGGATAAGAGCCATGAACTACTATACTAACTTCATATATAGTGAAATAATAATTAAACGAGATATAAATCATAGTATAAAGTTTTCAGAAAATCCATGCCTCTTATCGTAGAATCATCCATACTATTTATGTAGAATACCAAATTCAATTTTATCAACTGCAATCTTTTTTCTTCATTTCAACAGCATAAGCTTCTTCAAAGATCGCGTATTTTCGAGAGACCATTGAATTATTTAAGCTTTCAACTTAAGCTTTTCACTTAGTCATTATCAACAATCCTCCATGTCTTATTCAAACTTATATTATTTCTCATCTCTCTCTTTAATGACCCAGCTGCAGTAGCAATAATAACTATTTGTAGCGCTCGCCTTAAAACAGAACAAAAGTTAAACAAACAATTATCAATGAAGCATTAATTAATCCAACCAGCAACTTTCATCTACAAATACACTTGCAGTTACCAAACGGATTGTCTTCGTATGCGTATCTATTATTCGTGGTATCTCTCGCATCGCTGCATCCGCTGTTTGGCAGTTTCAATGTGTGGCTGCCAGTTCGGTTTGTTTATTGTTGATATCACAATTAAGAGGACTTAATTTGTAATGAATCCTACCTGCAACAATCATGCTGCAGGCTGCATTACGAACAATGCGCACGTGTGTCCTATATGTGTGTATGTGTGTATGTACATAGTCAAATACATTATATCAAGAAAGCAACAAGAAAACAGCACGGTGTAGAATGACACAAATGTATCTCATTTTCGAACCACATTGACATGCCCATAGTACGAGCATCATTTGCCCTGCGAAGGGTTAGTTACTCTTGTTTGTTATGACACCACGCGCCCGTAATGCGGTGCGGTGAGCTACACGTCAACGAATCACGGGTTTCACTAGCGTGTAATTATTATATTTTTATTTCCCAAATACCACTTTGGCTTTGCCGTTTCCATAATTCAGCAAACGGTGCCTTTTACCGTATCATATCATAGAAGCTTCATCAGTGGCCTCACTGGCATGATGGCTTCAGGTACGCTCAGCAGCTAATATCCATTTGTTCGTGTATGTGTTTATATGTGCATACGTGTATGTAAGTAAATTGGCCTCATCCTACACTCTATTTTTCAACAAGATAGAGATTTGTTTAATAAGGGTTTTGCGATTTAAACACGATAATTGTTGTTGGCACACTTGTATGTAGGCATGTGTGTGTGTGTGTGTGTGCATATGTTTACTGTGTTGTTTGGCACTTCTCAATCAATACAGTTGTTAGTGATGATACTTGATTTTATTACAAATCTCCACCCCATCAAATTTTACGCAATTTTTTTGAAGTAGTTTGTAACTGATATCTACCCCTGCCCTCATTCATTGTCCGTGGATGCTATGAGGCGGCGAGTGAGCGATCTATCGACTCGGTAATAACCTCCCGCCGTGTGGCATTGTACTATATGGGTATATGTTGTTGTTGTTGTTGTTTGTGATTTTTGATGATTATGCTGGAAGCTTAACTATGTACAAACATACATACATATATTTACATGTATATGCGTACAAATACAACGGAAATATTTCACCTTTGTTCAATAGAGACACTGTCTTAGCATCGACAGTAATGGCACAGTGGTTTATTTATAACAAAAATTAACAGACAGAATGTAAAAAAAAAAATAATGTGAGCCTTTGACACTCTGTCGGCTCTAAATATTATTAGTACGAATACTATAAAATAAAAAAATAGACAAATGTATTGAAATGTAACTCGAACTCTCTACTATTCCCTTTGAAACTCGCACTGCCGCTGCTGATTTTTTTCGAAAAAATATTACATCAACTTTGTTCCCGCTTGAGGTTCTCAAATTCTTATTTAAGTTATACCGGACAGTGGGTGAGTAGGACGAGCTCAGTACAGTGGTTTCTTAAACATTTTTTTTTTTTTCAACCCAAAGAGGGTAGTTCCACGGCATTTTTCCCACCTTTCATATTATTCTACTCAAAGCCATCGTTTCTAACAAATGAGACTTTAAATGGATATTTAGTTTTCGAATTTTCGCTTTCCAAAAATCAGAGTTATATCGGAGGTAACCACAAATTCGGTTCCATCCATTTTCAATAAATAATATCCATACCTGGAACCTAGGAATGTGTAAACCGAGTTTCTTTAAAATACTATCTCACTCCATACTCGATTCATCTTTCCATGAAATTCAATACCTATAAGTCCATATCTGTCATTATTTCCAACGTAATCATACAAATGAGGAATTATGAAGACACAATGTGCTTTTAGGTCGAATGTTGTCTGTCTGGCAACACCATCGATTTATTATCGTCTCTGTGAGACCCAATGGGTCACCCAGTACAACCTAACCTAACTTAACGTTCATATTAAGTTTTTAACTGTTTTAAATAGCAGAATGTGAGTATTTAAACTCAAAAGAAAAAGAAAACTTGTTAAATTGTAAATGAGAGATAACAAATAACTCAATAACATATCACAAAATATGAGTACAATAGTTTTCTTTTAAAAAATAACATTTTTGAATATATACAAAACAGTTTGATCCATTTTTTTCACGTCTATTCACTTTCATTCGCGGGGCTTAAAATTAATCCACAACAAAAACTTGAGTTGGCAGCCGTTTCGGAGATCGACGCATTTTTTCACCAGAGCTACTGTGACAGAACCCAGACTTAACAGACAAGAGCGCCAAACACTACGCTAGCAGCCGTCATGTGATCTGCTGTATTATGCAGTTCATTCACAAACGAA